AACTCAGATCTAGCCCCCACCCTGTCCCCAGTGCTGGAACTAAAGGCATGGGCCATCATGCCCGGACAAGATGACAAGATTTTAAAAGCCTTGTTCAAATTTCTCTTTCTGAGTACTGTGAATGTATTGTCTAAAATAAAATGGAACAGAACATCGGAGGAAAAAAAGAATAGAAAAAAGGAAGGAAGGGAGGGAGGGAAGAAAGGGGGGAAGAGAGAGAGAGAGAGAGAGAGAGAGAGAGAGAGAGAGAGAGAGAGAGAGAGAGAGAGAATAAAGCCTATGGGCTGGTGATGACTCACAAGAAAGAACGCTTTTTATGCATGAGGACCTGAGTTCCAATGCTAGGCATCCATTTAAAAGCTGTACATGGTTGTAACCTCAACTTTCCGGGCGGTGACAAGCAGATCCCAGGAGCTCACTGACCAGCCCGCAGTGACAAGATTGCAAGCTTCAAGCCCGGTGAGACCGGGTCTCAAGGGAGTAAGGCGAGGCTAGAGCACCGACATTCTCTTGGGGCCACTCTCCTTAGGAGCCCTGCAAACACACCACGCCCGCAAAGAACCTAAAAAAGACCTGCTCCCACTACTGCTCAACGCCCCTGAATGTATCCTGCGAGATGAGTGCAGCCGCCTCGCCCTCCAAGTCCTCACATGGATGGCCACATGTCCCTCTGCCACAGTCTCTCTGCTAGGCGGGGCTTCCTCAGGATAAGTCCCTGGCTTCTCTCCTCTCCTTTCTCCAGGGCAAACCCACCGCTGTCTCGCTGGGGCCAATTACCTCTCCCTCTGCCAGGACTCGGCGGGACCACAAATCCCACCCCTGCGGTCCTGCATCCCGCGGGCACAGTTCGCAGCCCACCCGTTGGCGGCCCTCACCTCGGTCTCCTTGTCTCTTCCACGCTCCCACTAACACCCAGAACCTCACCCGCTCTCAGAGCACCCAGAGGAGGAACTTGGCAGTTGTAACTGAGGGTGGTGAGGCTTGTTTACTGTCACTGTGGAAACCCCAGGAGCTTGCTCCCGCAGGGACGTGGTCCTCATCCGGCATGTGCAGAGCCTCGGGAAGCCCCTAGTGATTGTGGCGCCCTACCCCCAGCTCAGCCCACTCCCCAAGCGTCCGGAAAGAGTAGCATGGATCTGTCTGAGTTTTGATGGACCAGGAAGGTACCATTGTGCTCCATCAAAGTTGTAGGGCAAGAAGACAGCGGGAGACTGAGGCAGGAGCATCAGAAACTATAGGCGAGCTAGTGAGGATCCGTCTATTAAGTAAGTAAAATAAACGGAGGCTCGTTGGTGGAGTGTGTGCTAGCATTCTCTGCCTCCCGAGTTCTGGGATTAAAGGCGTGCGCCATCACCGCCCGGCTCTTTTTTTTTTTTTTTTTTTAAAAAAAAGGTCCTAAAGGAAAATAAATTCTACCAGTCAGTAAATATTTAGAAATCTTAATGGCACAGAAGACGAAGAGATTAAATTGTCCTGCCCTTGGGTTTCAAGGCTTACTGCACTGCCAAGCTGAGGGGTAAACCAGATATTACATTTTCTTTTTCTTTTTTTTTTTTTAAACTATCTATCTATTTGTTGTTGCTTGAGACAGGGTCTCAGATCTCATGTAGCCTTAAATTCATTAAGCAGTCCAGGGTGGCTTTGTATTCCTGTTTTATCTCCATCTTTAGAGAGCTGGGATTAGAGGAGTGCACCACACCTAGTTACATTTTCATAAAGAATAAAAGTTCCAGCCAACTTCAAGTTCAAGACCAGCCTCAGGTAAACCAAGTTCAACAGGTCAGACTTGGCAATCTTGAGACCTGTTTTATCTATTTACCTCTAAGTATTATTGTTTGGGTGCTGGGGATTATATACAAAGCCTTGAGAATGCTAGGCACAACCAGGAGGGTGGCACTTGTTTTTAGCTCCAGCACTGAAGAGGCATAGGTATGAATCTCTGAGTTCGAGGCCAGCCTGGTCTAAAAAGGGAGTTACAGAATGGCCACAACTTCAGAGAAATCTAGTCTAGAAGAGCTAGTTCCAGGACAGGCTCTAAAGCTACAGAGAAACTCTGTCTTGAAAAACAAAAAACAAAGAAAAGAAAAAAGAAAAAAAAATGTAGCTTCCCTGGCTGTCCCAGAATTCAGGCTGGCCTCAAACTCAACAGAGATCACCCGTCTCTGCCTTCTGAGTGCTAGGTTTAAAGATGTGTGCCATTTATGGGGGGACATGTATGTTTTAACAAAAATATACTGTTGTGTTTATTGTTGTTCTGAGGCAGACTTGACATGTTGTCCAGGCTAATAATCTAATCTCAAACGTATGGACTCCTAAGATCCTCCTGAGTACTGGGACCACAGTACAAAACTCTCTCTCTCTCTCTCTCTCTTTTTCTTTTACTTAATAAAGGTAATGCTTTTGTTGTTCACCAGAAACCAAAGATAGACCCAAATTTAACTTAGTTACTGCTACATCCAGACCACCTACCTTAGTCTTCTGCTTCAATAAAGAAACCAAACAGTAGATTAGAGAGATAGCTAAGCGGTTAAGAGTACTGACTGCCCTTCAGAGGACCAAGAGTTCGATTCCCAGCACCCACATGGCAACTCACAATTGTCTGTAACTCCAGTTCCGGGGATCTGATACCTTCACACCAGTGCACATAAGATAAAGCTAAGTAAATTATTATTATTTTTTTAAAAAAAGAAATCACCAGGTGGTGGTGGCACATACCTTTAATCCCAGCACTCCGGAGGCAGAGGCAGGCGGATCTCTGTGAGTTCGAGGCCAGCCTGGTCTATAAGAACTAGTTCCAGGCCAGGCTCCAAAGCTATAGAAAAACCCTGTCTCGAAAAACCAAAAAAAGAAAAAAGAAAGAAAGAAAGAAATCAAATAGTGCAAAATTAATAAAGGAAACCATGGAAATTAGTTGTTTCAATGGTAAACAAACTGTTCAGCCTGATCTCTGTGAGATTTTAGCAGTCTGGTCTACACAGAGAGTTCCAGGACTGCCAGGGCTACATAGAGACTTTGTCTCAAAAAAAACTACCCCCCTAAAGAAGAAAGAAAATTGAGAAAATTGCCTAACATTTGCATGGTCCTGGGTTTCGTTCCCAGCACTGCTGAGAGATAGAATGAAGTGGGAGGAAGGAGGGAGAAAAGAAAGATAAACACAAGAATTAGCTTCTTTTTAAAAAACTGGTTGAATGGTATCCTTGTTTGGTCTTTATTGCTGGGATAAAACACTGGCCAAGCCCAGCTTAGGAAGGGTTTATTTGGTTGGCAGTTTACAGTCTGTCATCGAGGACATTCAAGACAGGACCCGAACCAGTATCCCTGGAGGAACACAATTTACTGTCTTGATCAGCTTTCTTTCTCATACAAGCCAGGATCACCTGCCCAGGGCACCACTCACAGTAGGCCTGGCCCTCCCACATCAAGTATTAATCAAGAAATGCCTCCTGTCAGAAATGCTCACAATAGACAGGTGGTGGAGCACGCCTTTAATCTCAACACTCGGGAGGCAGAGACAGGTGGATCTCTGAGTTCGAGGCCAGCCTGGTCTACAGAGCAAGATGTAGGAAACAAAACCAAACAACAGCAACAACAACAAAATGATCACAGGATGATCTGATGAAGACAGTTCCTCAGTCGAGGGTCCGTCTTCCTGAGTTGAGGGTTCCTCTTCCCAGGTGACTCTAGTTTGTGTGAGGTAGACAAAACCTAACTGGCACAGTTGGTTTTTGAGATAAGATCTCACTCTGGCCCATGCTAGACTGTAGCTCAGTAGGTAATCTAGGCTGGCCTTAGTCTTAAAACAGTCCTCTTAACCAGGCGGTGGTGGCGCACACCTTTAATCCCAGTACTTGGGAGGCAGAGGCAGGCGGATCTCTGTGAGTTGGAGGCCAGCCTGGTCTATAAGAGCTAGTTCCAGGACAGGCTCCAAAGCAAAGAGAAACCCTGTCTCGAAAAAACTAAACAAAAGTCCTATTGACTCAGCCTCCTGAGTATGTTCATTTCTTTTCTAATGTTGCTGTTTGTTTTGGGTTTTGTTTGCTTGTTTTTATGTCTGTTTGTTTTTCAGGAAGTCTCTGTTATGTAGGAAAAAAAGACTATAGAAAAAATATTCCTTTAGCCATTAAGGAAATCTAAACCAAATTGAGCAAGTCAGAATTACTGTTACTGCGCTGCCTAGATTTATGTCAACTTGACACAAGCTCGAGTCCTCTGAAAAGAGCGAACATCAATTAAGAAAATGCCTCCATAAGGTTCAGTTGTAGGGCATTTTCTCAGTGATTGATGGGAGAAGAGTCCACCTCATTGTGGGTGACAGTCCTAGGTTCTTTAAGAAACTGGAGTGAGCAAGCCAGTAAGCAGCACTCCTCCACAACCTCTGCATCAGCTTCTGCCCTCAGGTTCCTGTCCTGCTTGAATTCCTAACTTCCTTCAATGATGAATAGTGATGTTGAAACATAAGTCAAATAAACCCTTTCTTCCCCAATCTATTTTGGTCATGGTGATTCATCACAATAATGGTAACCCTATTTGAGAAAGTTCTCAAGGAAAACATCAGATGGTCACGGTGGGAATGTAAGTTAGACCACCTACTATGGAAATCAGTGTGCAGAGCCCTTAAAAACCTAAATTTGAAATTAGTCTATGCCTGGGTTGCATAATTCCTGAGAAAACCCAAGTGGCTTGGGTCCTGGAACCCTGACTAGGGACAGTGAGGGGATGAAGAAAGGACAGGCACACAGACATATATACAGAAAAGCTGGAGTCAGGTGAGAGTGTGCATCAGATGGACTGGCACCTACTGCCTCTGTAGCCAGAACCTCAGCCTGCTTATTAATTTCATCTCAGGTGGATAAGTTCACTGTTCCCAGCAATGGGTCTCTGTAGGCCGGCAGTCTCAGGCTACAAACATCAGAAGGAGGGAGCCACAGTTGCTAGTTTTACTGCTAAGTCCTTGAAACTTGGACCCAGGAAGAAGGTTTTGCCATTTTTCTGAGTCTCACCCAAAGAAGGCTGTTCCACTTTGCCATGGTTCCATGCCTTGGTCTTTGTCGTCGCTGTGTCCACGTCTAGGATACGGTCACTCAGGACTTCAGTAACTGAGGGCTTCCTATGCTCCCTATGCAGAACAAACTCAAAGGAATCAAAGTCAACACACAGCTCAGATTCCTGCACATCCATGTTTATTGTAGCTCAATTCACAGTAACCAAATCATGGAATCATTTTAGGTGCCCATCAGTAGAGGACTAGATAAGGAAAACATGGCAATACACCCTCCAGAGTTGCAGGACAGGTAATACTGCACAGAGAAACCCTGTCTCAAACAAACAAACAAAACCGTTCACTTTGCACAGTTTCTAATCATGTGTTCCTTCCCTTCCTTTCTTTTATTGATTTGTTTTGGGGGCTTTGCTTTGTTTTGTGGTGAGGGGTCTCACTGTGTATCCCTGGCTGTCCTGGAACTCACCCTGTAAACCAGGCTGGCCTCAAAATTGAGCTTCACCATCAGCCTCCGCCTCCTGGGTGCTGGGATTGGATTAAAGGTGTACACCGCCACACCTAGCAAATCTAAATTTTCCATAGATAATGTATTTCTACTATTTCTACTGCTGTGATAAAACACCAAAAACAGCTTGGGGAGGAAAAGGTTTGTTTGGCTCACACATTCCGATTACAATTAATGATTCAAGAGAGTCAGGCAGGAACGGACGCCAAAGCCTGTTTTCTAGCTGGATTTTTTTATACAACTATCAGCTCATAGGTGGCCCCTCCCCTAGAGGGCTGGGCCCTCCCACACCAGTCATTAATCAAGAACATGCCCACAGGCCAATCTGGTGAGGACATTTTCCCAGTTGAGGTTCTCTCTTCCTAAATGACTCTAGTTTGTGTCAAGTTGGCAAAAAACTAACTGGCACAGACAACTTCTATATTTTTAGGTTCTTACTGACATAATTAAAGAGAGCAATTAAAGGTTCTCAACCTTCCTAATGCTACCTACGTATGTTCCTCATGCTGTGGTGACCCCCAACCATAAAATTATTTTCGTAATTTTACTACTGTTATGAAATGTCATGTAAATATTTTTGGAGGCTGAGGTTTGCCAGAGGGGTTTCGATGCGCAGGTCGAGAAGCGCTGGAATAGAGGGACTCAAGATACTTTCTGTAAATATGCCTATTCATGCTTTCAAGGTCTTCTTGCCTGGAACCTGTGGACACTATAGGAAGTGTGCTCCCCCCAGCCTCCAGACTTGGAAAGGGACCATGTAACCACCTCAAAGGACCTTTGCCTTGTTTCCAGGGAGGTAAGGGACAGCAGCACTTTCCCGATTAAAACCTACAAGAAGACTTCATTGAGTTTGCAATAACATCTAGAACATTAGGCAGTTCATTCCCATGTGTCAGAATAAACACATTCTGGGAACAAGTAAAATGCTTTCAGTTATATTTATGATTGTTCATTATTCAAGGTGGTGCAGCTGCTGTGCTGGAGATGGGAAAGCCTGCAAGGCAAGGGCTCTGCCACTGGGCTGCACCTATAGCACCTGGGCGCTTGCTTTTTGTGTATCTGTAATCTAAGCTTCTTTTCTTCTTGCTTTATTTATTTGCTTTTCTTTTTTTTCCCTTTGAGATGACCTCTCGGTGTTTGCCAGGCTGTCCTCAAACTCACAGTCCTACTGTCTCAGACTCCTAAGTAACTGGAGTGATTTAGTTTTCTATACCCTCATTGTTTTCTTTCTTTTTTTTTAACTTTATTTCATGCACATTGGTATAAGGATGTCAGATTCTCTTGAACTGGATTTAAAGACAGCTGCGAGCTGCCATGTGGGTGCTGGGAATTGAACCCGGGTCCTGTGGAGGAACAGTCAGTGCTCTTAACCACTGAGCCATCTCACCAGCCCCCCCTCATTGTTTTCTAAGGGTGCTCTTTCTATATGAAAGCACAGATGGCTGGGCAGTGGTGGTACATGCCTTTAATCCCAGCACTTGGGAGGCAGAGGCAGGCAGATAGATCTCTGTGAGTTCGAGGCCAACCTGGTCTACAAGAGCTAGTTCCAAGTCAGGCTCCAAAGCCACAGACAGACTCCAAAGGTACAGAGAAACCCTGTCTCAAAAAACCAAAAACCAAAAACCAAAACCAAAACAAAACAAAAAACAAAAAGCAAGAAAGCACAGATACCCTGAGGAGTTCACACCCATAAGGATAGCAAAAGTTCACAGCTCGTGGCCTTTGGTAAGATTTTACCAAGTTCTTCAGAGGAGAATAAGACCTCTGACGAATACGTTGCTCTGCAGATTCTGCTGGTAGTCAGGGAACCGACTGTTTGGTGAGGGCCACTAGAGACCTATAAGAGTCAAGAGAGGCAATTTAATCCTGCAGGATGTACAAATGACCTGCAAATGAGGCACCTGAGTGAAGGAGAAAGCATTGTAATAACATGTCATTTGTCCAAAAATTCAAAACAGAATGAGTAGCGCCAAAACCACTGTTAACATGTTTAGTTACGGCCTTCTATGGCTTAAAAAAAGATTTTTATTTTATTTTATGCATATGAGTGTTTTGCCTGCATGTGTATTTGTGCACCATGTATGTGTGCCTGGTAACCACAGAGGCCAGAAAATGTTCTTGGGTCCTCTGGAACGAGAATTACAGATGGTCGTGAGCCACTACATAGGATGTTGGGAACTGCGCTCAGGTCCTCTGTAACACAGCAAGTTCTCTTAACTCCCAGTCCGTCTCTCTCTCTTTAGCTTTAGCTGGCCCTCCAGAACATAGACATACAACTCGGTCACAAGACAATGACACATCACTCTAGAAAGTACACACTTGAATACGCTTTTAAAAAGTTAGCATAATTGAAGCCATGCCAGGTGTGGTGGCGTATGCCTTTAATCAAAGCACTTGGGAGGCAAAAGCAGGTGGATTTCTGAGTCTGAGGCCCGCCTGTTCTACAGAGCTAGTTGCAGGGTTAGCAGAACTACATGGAGAAATTCTATCTCCAGAACAAAATGAAAACAAACACAAGCAACAGAGTTAGCGGAGGGTATTGGTACAGTTTTATAATCCCTGCATTGGAGAGGAAGAAGCAGGAGGTCATCCTCATTTACATAGTCAGCCTGGGCAGCGGGAAACCTGTCTCACACAAACATACACCAGCGCGCGCACCCACCCAGAAGGCTTCCATGCTTCAGGAAAGGCACGGAATCAACACTTTTGGGATGCCACATTTACCTCTCAGCAGCACAGCTGGAAGAACTCCAGGAAGACCGTGGCGCTGCATACCTGGAGTTCCTGTCCTTCCGCTGAGGAGCTGGAAGCAGGTGGATCATGAGTTTGAGGCCAACTTCAGCTACATCTGGTAGAATGTGTACACGAAAGAAGGGAGGAAACGAAGTGGGGACAGGATGAGGAAGAGGCACCCCAGTACGTCAACTTCTTGGTACTGATCTTTTGTTTATCTGTTAGGGTTTAAAAGGGAGAAACACCCACAGGAAATGTATGCAAGGGGTTGTTATAGTGATTTGTCCTGACACAACAGAGGAAAAGGAGAGATGTGAACACACACACACACACACACACACACACACACACACGCCTTTCTGACTTTGGTAGTGGGGTGTAGAAGGCGGGCCTCCTACACCTAGTGACTCACTCCCCTGCCCTGTGTTTCCAAGGAGTGGGTGTGGAAAGGGGGCACCAGGAGCCAAAACCACAGTTAGAGGGTAGCAACCGCTTGAGGCCATGTACTGTGAGGAGCAATGTACTCACCCTCCGAACCTTGCCTAGTCTCTGCAACCGCATCCCCAGCAGGGGATACTGAGTGTTGTGGTTCAGGAAGTGCTCCGTAGAAAGCAGCTATAGTGACTTTGAAACACCAGGGATGTTTCCAGTGCTTTCATCTAGAGATGGTTTGTGAGCAACTAGCAGGTGGCAAGGCTTAGTGGCTCCTGGCTGCAGGCATTTTGTTATGTTTCTGAGGAAATTTGGTTTTTGACCACAGGAGGCAAAAGTTGTTTGGTTGTTTTCCTCATGTGAGGTGTGTGTGTATGTGTGTGTGTGTGTGTGTAGAAGCACACTCGTGTGTGCTCCTATGTGTGCGTGTGCACATGCATGTGTCTCTGTGTGTCCATATATGTGTGTGTAGAGGCCACTTATCAATGTCAGCTAAGTTCCTCAGGGACTCTGCAGCTTGTTTCCTGAGATGGTCTTTCACTGAGCTTGGAGCTCAGGTATTCAGCTGGCTGGCTGGCAAGCCCCAGGTGTCCTCCTGTCGCCAAAGTCCCTGATCTGGAATGTAAATACTTACTGGGCCACTCTTTTTAAGTGGGTGTGGGGATCCAAACTGAGATCCTCAAGATTGAGCAACAAACATTTTACATACTGACCCATCTCTTTAGTCCTGGTCCTGAGGATTGAACATGGTCTTGCATATGCTAGGTCAGTCTTTTACCATCCCCAATCCTCTTTTTAATTTTAATAATAATAATAATAATAATAATTATTATTATTAAGACAGACTCTTACTGTATAGCTCTGATGACCTGGTACTTGTTATGTAGACCAGACTGGCCTCAAACTAACAGAGATCTATCTGCTTTTGACTTGAGAGTCTGGCATTAAAAGCCTAGTTAATTTGATTCTTTGAGATAGGGTCTTACTATGTATTCCCAGCTTGCCTGAAATAAACTTATTTATTTTTTGTTCTAGAACTTGGCATTCTCTTCACGAGTTCTGGGATCAGCCCTGTCCTTCCTCTCATTGTCACACACACCAAACTAGTTTGTTCAACTAATCTTTAACTTAAAAGCGACCTTTGATGTTCCTCCTTGGTTGTGGGTCAGAAAACTCTGAGGTCAACATTATAGAAAGATTATTATATGGATCTAAAATTTTCACTCCTTTTCCAGAATAGAACGTTGTTAGATCTCAAACCTAGGGACAAAAGACAGTTGGTGCCTATTTAATATACCAAATATGACATGGCCACCAGGTTCTCCCAGCATTCCTCAGTCCCTTCCTGTTACAGGGTATGGCTGGCATACCAGGCTCACAACCCGAAATTCTCCAGCCCAGAGGCTGGCCTGTTCTTCCTCCAGTTGCTCTTTTCTATATAATCCAGACATTTTGGTTACCTGACTCCATTATTTACCTTTAAATCTCCAGACTTTCTTCTCTCCCCACCCCCTCTCCTCACGTGTCCTGCTCAGGGTTGCGGTCACATTCACCACGGATTCTTCCAGATGCCTTTGGCCATGCTTCCCCTCACATCTACAATAGATCTCCTCCTTGCTTAGGAGCAGTCAAGTCCTTCCTTTTTTCTTCTTTTTTCTTTTTTCATTCAAAAGTAACTCCCCCACCCCTACCCCCACCCCCATACCTGGCTGCCACCACTGCCTAGCCAAATGTGACTTTCTTTTGTGAAGTAGTAAATAAATAAATAGCAAGGACATATTGCTGAAGAAATGTCAAATAATAAAAAGAGAAAGAATGTTTCTTGACAAAGGCATAAGTGAACCAGTCATGGTGTCTCAAGCTTGTGATCCTAAGGCCAGAGCACCAGAGTCTGCAGGAGGGAGGTGGGGTAGGGGAGAGAAGGGGAGGTGAGGACAGCAGGGTGGAGGGAGTGGGGAGTGGGGGTGGGACAAGACACAGGGTACCACCTGTAATCCCAGCATTCCTGAGACAAAAGGCGCTCTTGAGTTGGAGGACGGCCTGGTGCATGGTCTAGGATATCCAGGGCAACGCAGAGAAACCCTTTATTGAAAAACCAAACTAAACAAACAAAACAACGACAAAAAACTTAACACTAGAGCCTAAGAGGCAAAAGGATCATGGGTCTCAAAAATTCGAGGGCTAAGGACTGAGCTCAGAGGTTGAGAATCTTTTTAAATTTAATTTAATTTTGTTTTGGTTTGTTGAGCAGGGTTCCTCTTGTGCCTTGGAAACTAGCTCTTTTTTTTTTTTTATTTTAAAAAGAGAGCACCAGACCTTATTACAGATGGTTGTGAGCCACCATGTGGTTGCTGGGAATTGAACTCAGGACCTCTGGAAGAGCAGGCAATGCTCTTAACCTCTGAGCTACCTCTTCAGCTCCGAAACTAGCTCTTGTTGACCAGGCTGGCCTCGAACTCACAGAGATCTGCCTTCCTCTGCCTCCCAAGGGCTGGGATTAAAGGCGTGTGCCACCACCGCCCGATCAGCTTCTGTCTTTCATGGACATAATTCTTTGTCCCACCATCAGCACCAAAGGGGTGGGTTAAGTACTTAGTGTACTGTCAGCTCTCACAGGGAGCCCCGGAGTTTTCCTTAAGGTCTGACTGTGTCTTCTGGCTTTTTTTTTTTTTTTTTTTTTTTTGTAGTTTTTGTGTTTGTTTGTAGACAGAGTTTCTCTGTAGCTTTGGAGACTGTCCTGGAACTAGCTCTTGTAGATCAGGTTGGCCTCAAACTCAGAGATAACCTGGCACCAACTCCCAAGTGCTGGGATTAAAAGGCATGTGCCACCATTGCCCAGCATCTCTGGCCTTCTTTCCCAGAGAAGTAAGACGCAAGAACCATTAGCCAACTTTGGCCATCTCAATCATTGTCCCCTACTCTTGCCTTGAACTGATGCCCAGCCAGAAATATGTGGTTAATCAAGGACTCCAAGGTCGGTGTCCTTCCCACTGGTCCAACCGTGCTCCAAACAAAACCACCTACCAAAGCTGGGTGTGCTAATACCTAGGATTCCATCTCTAGGAAGCCCTCCCCCAACCTAATCAAGTTAAGGTCATTCTCTGTTTTTTTGTTTTTTTTTCCCCCACCGAGACAGGGTTTCTCTGTAGCTTTGGAGCCTGTCAGCTCTTTTAGACCAGGCTGACCTCGAACTCACAGAGATCAGTTTGCCTCTGCCTCCCAAGTGCTGGGATTGAAGGCGTGTTCCTTCACTGCCACTGCCCGGCTGTTAAGGTCATTCTCTACAATTTAGTGAGTTGAAGATCAGCCTAGGGGTTGCTGAAGTCTTGTTTAAAAAACAAAACAAAACAAAACAAAAAAAACACAACAACAAACAGGGCTGGAGAGATAGCTCAGTGATTAAGAGCACTGCCTGTTCTTCTAGAGATCCTGAGTTCAATTCCCGGCAACCACATGAATAATGAGATCTGGTGTTCTGGTCTTCAAGCATACATGCAGCCAGAACACTGTATACATAATAGATAAATAAATCTTTAAAAAAAAGAAAAATAAAAAAATAAAAAAATAGCTGAGTATAGCTGGACAGTGGCAGAGACAGACAGTTTGAGGCCAGGCTGCTCTACAGAGCAAGTTCCAGGACAGACAGTACTACACAGAGAAACCCCATCTGGGTGTCGGTGGGGGAGATAGTTGGGTGTAGCATGTAAAAAAACAAAATAAAAATAAAACAAAGCAAAAACAAGCAAAAGAAGCTACCATAGGACTGGGTCAATGATAAGAGCACAGACTGCTCTTGCAGAAGACACAGTCTGAGTTCCAGCACCCATATCAGATGGATGGCTCACAGCTGACTGCAACTGCAGCTCCAGGAGATCTAATGCTTCTGGCCTTCTTGGGCAGCGGCACATGTATATAGCAGAGGGGAAAGAAAGAACCTGCATTAAAACATTAAAAGGGGATTTTTCTTTTTTTTTTTCTTTTTCTTTTCTTTTCTTTCTTTTTTTTTTGAAACAGGCTCTCACAAAGTAGTTCTGGGTGGTTTAGATTTATTATGTATACCTCAAACAGAGATCCTCCTGCCTATGTGCCTAAATGCTGAAATTAAAGGCATGCACCACCCACCCCACCCTTTTATTTTTATTTTGAGACAATTGCCCAGGCAGGTCAAGACCTGCCATCTTCCTGCTCCATTCTTTTTTTTAAATTGTTGTTGGTTTTTTTTTTGTTTTGTTTTTTGTTTTTTGATCAGGGTTTCTCTGTGTAACAGCCCTGGCTATCCTGCAACTTGCTTTGTAGCCTGGGCTGGGGTCAAACTCACTGAGATCCTCCTGCCTCTGCCTCCCAAGTGCTGGGATTATAGGCATGTATCACCAACACTAGGTCCATTCTTTCTTTTTTTTCCAGCCCCATCTTGAGAGTAGCAATAATCATACTCTGTGGTGTGCCAACAGGCCTGACTATATGCTATTTTTCTGATCCATATATAGCTCTGACAACATGTATAAGTTAGGCACATAAAGATTGACAGTGAGTAACCTTTATTGTTTTTATTTGTTACACAAAACTGTAACAATAGCTGTGTGGTGGAACTCTCCTACAATCCCAGTGTTCTAAAAGCTCAGGGACGAGGAGGAGGAGAATCAGGAATTTCAGACTAGACTTGGCTAAATAATGAATTCAAGGGCCTAAAGAGATCCTATCTCTCCAGGTACGGTGGCACACGCCTTTGATCCCAGCACTAGGAAGGGGTGGCACACGCCTTTGATCCCAGCACTAGGAAGGCAGAGGCGGGCGGATCTCTGTGAGTTCAAGGCCAGCCTGGTGTACAAGAGCTAGTTCCAGGACAGGCTTCAAAGCTACAGAGAAACCCTGTCTCAAAAAGCTAAAAAGAAAAAACAAAAAACAAAAAAAGAAATCCTGTCTCAAAAAAAAAAAAACAAAAAAAAAAACAAGAAACAAACAAACAAAAAAACAAAAACAAAAACCTCAAAAAACCAAAACAAAAAAAGGATGATTTAGGACCTGAGTGGAAGGAGAAAGACAATGTGAGATTTCATTGTTACTCAGAACATGACACAATATGAAATTAGAGTTATCTCTAGAATTTTCTAGCCTTGGACCATAGCTTGTCACAGGTAACTGAAAGTATGTGCAGCAAAATCAGGGATTAAGGGAGAGACTAATGGACTTAGTCCCTGGGGATGATCACAGCGCCCTGGATAATATAAGAGGTACAGAGAAAACAAGGCTTACCACTACACATAACAGTATATGTAATCCCAGTTGCAGAAGGCAGGGAGACTTCTAGGCCAAGGACAGACTGGGTACATAGTCAAGGCACTATCTGAAAAAAAAAAATAGAGGCAGAAGAGGCCAGAGGAGGCTGTGGGCATGCATTCCTATTGTTGCTGGGGGAAAATGGGAGTTAGGTAGGGCACAGCTTGAGGATTGGCTGATTTGAGGAAATTCTGGAGGCTTTGAGGTGGTCTCTAGCTGTCTGGTACGTGGTTCTCACACAATTAGTACAGGAGGCCTGATAAAGGAGGTGGTTGGGGCTGTGGAATTAATCAGTGGCAACAAGAGGAGCTGAGTGGCATCTAGCCAGGCCCAAAAAACTGGGTCAAGGCGGCTTACAGCCACAGACCAGCTCTATTAGTGGAAGCAGTATTCTGAAGGAATTTATGGAGATGGAGAACAACTGTGCTAGTTCTCTGATCCTAAAATTTTATTTACTATTAGTATGTGTGATGTGTATGTTGAGTGTGTCTGTGCAGGTATGCAGGTACCATGGATCTATGTGGAGAGAGAAGCCAATTTTCAGGAGATGCTTCGTTCCTCCCAGCCTTTTGAGATGATGGATACTTTTTGACATGGAACATATTCCAGGCCTCTGAGCTTCCAGGCAATTCTGTCTTTTCTTTCCATATCGATACAGGATGCAAATCTGAATCTCTGAATCACCCAACCTGGCTTTTTAAAACTGTGGATTCTGGGGTCAGAACTCCTGTCATTAGAGCTATGTGGCCAGTACTTCTACCCACTGAACCACGTGGATAACACAGACCTACAACTGTATCTCCCCCATCTGCGGTATTGCTGTAGTTTTTTAAATTTTATTTTTTGGTTTTTCGAGACAGGGTTTCTCTGTAGCTTTGGAGCCTGTCCTGGAACTCGTTCTTCTAGATCAGGCTGGCCTCGAGCTCACAGAACACTGCCTGCCTCTGCCTCCCAAGTGCAGGGATTAAAGCCGTGCACCAGGGCTGGAGAGATGGCTCAGAGGTTAAGAGCATTGCCTGCTCTTCCAAAGGTCCTGAGTTCAATTCCCGGCAACCACATGGTGGCTCACAACCATCTGTAATGGAGTCTGGTGCCCTCTTCTGGCCTGCAGGCATACACACAGACAGAATATTGTATACATAATAAATAAAATAAATATTAAAAAAAAGAAAAAAAATAAAGCCGTGTACCATAATAACTGCTTGGCTCTTTTCTCTTCTTTTGAGATTGTAGCCCAGACTGGCCTGGAATTCCGTGGTCAAGGTCTTGAACTCTCAACAGTACTCCTACTATATGCTGGATTATGGGCATGCAAGCTTTAATTTTGTCTTTCTTGCTGTGGATTGAGATCAAGGCCTTGTGCCTCCTCAGAATGACTACTTGTAAATTCAGACCAGCTTGGACGATTACTTATAAATTCAGACCAGCTTGGACGACTGATAAATGGGTCTTTTTCTCAAAGGTGGGTGGGCACTTTTAACCACCAAGTCATTTCTCCATCATCCTGCCCACCCCACAACAGTTTGGGTTTTCTTACTGAGCATCTGCCATCAGAGCTCCTGATTCCTAGGAAAAATGTGACACAAGGATAGAGCCATCTTATAGTATTGCTGGATTATTCAAATGGCTTGCTTCCCTTTCCTTCTCAAATGGGCGAGGGAGATGGAGAAAGGGCTCTATCCGGATAAAAGCTCTGTTTCACAATAGAATGGAGAATATAGTGGTTAAAAACATAAGACTTCTACCTTCATTCTAAAACTAGCCAAGCACAGAGCATAGATTCTCCTCCCAAAAACAGAGACTGAACTAGGGGTGATGGGTGATGTGCCTATTAGCTCCTACCTCCTAACAGGAGGCTGAGACAGGTTTGGGGTTAGGTTGGGCTACAGAGTTGGCCTGTGTTATGGAGTAACTCAAAAGTTGAAGTTGGTGGTGTCTGTGTGTGCACTGAAGAGATGGTTCACCAGGTAAGAGGCTTGCTGCTCTTGCAGGCCACCCAAGTTCAGTGCCCAGCACCCACAACTGGCAACAGACAACTGCCGGTGACTCCAGCTCCAGGGGATTCCCACCTTTTTCTGGTCTCCACAGGCACCCACATACGGTGAAAACTCACACTGACATGCATATACACACACATTAATAAAAATAAATCTTAAAAATCCCGAAAGGGGTCGATGGTGAGGTGGCTCAGAGGGTAAAGGTACTTGCTGCCAGACCTGACAACCTGTGCTCAGTGTCTGGGACCCACCTGGTGAAAGGAGAGAATCAAATCCTGAAGGTTGTCCTCTGATATCCACACATTCACCATGATGGCACAAACAAAATAAATAACAAGCAAAATAATAAACACACTAAACTAAAACCAAAACAGTGGGATTGCTTACGAGTTGGAGGAAAGCCTGGACAGGAGAGAGTCGGCAAATGAAATGTCAGACTCTGAAAGTCTGATAACCTAAGTTTGACCCTTGGAGCTCACATAAAAGTAAACACAAAACCAGCCCACGAAAAGTTGCCCTCTGACCTCCACAAGGGAGGAAGGCACTTGCCCCTTCCTCCACCAATAGTAATAAACTTTAAAAATCAATTGACAAAAACAGCCCCAAAACCAGGGTGATGTCTCAGCAGATAAAGGCACTTGCTGCCTCATCCTGCGCACCAGAGTTTGATTCTGAACGCAGACTACCAAGGATTCTCCTCAGACTTCCATGCCAGCAAGGTGATACAGTTAACTCCTTCACACTAATAATCTTAACGTCCTCTCCAGTACAAAAAAGCATCAGAGGTGTGGGGCATAGTTTGGTAAAACTTGTACTAAGTACAATGTTCTGGGTTTAATGCTCAATATACACGCAAGAATACGTATTTAACTTTTGTAGGATCTGTTTTCTGTCATTTGCCCTCTAGTTTTCTTTTTGGACAGTTTCTCTCCTTAAAGTTAGTAGTTGTTTTTTTTTTTCTGGAGTCAGTCTGGTGTGTTGTTTTATGAACTTTTCTTTTCATCATTATCGTTCACTTATAACCTGAGCCCATGCTGAACAGTCCTGTAATTTCTCCAGTGTTTATTTGAGGCATCGGCTGTTGACCATGCCGCCTCGGCACCCTCCGTGCAGAGATTACCAGCGCGTGTCCTCACGCCCGCCTAGGAGGCTCTGGAGGTTTTGAAAATAATCTTCAGCTTTGCTCGTATCTTGACATCTCACGAAAAGTCCTCCCAAATTATTACACATCAAGAAAATCTGCCTCTGCACTCCAGGAAGTGCTGACAGTCTGAAACTTAAAACGCCGACGCAGGGGGGCTTTGAGCAACTTCAGACAAATCCCTCGAGACTGTCCCTCCGAGACGCCCTTAGGCGGTCTTTCTCTTTACGTAAGGCACGACGCTAGTTTTCCGCTCGCACGCGGTTATTGAAGCCTTTGGGCTCACATTTCGGGGTGCGGAGACGCGCGTGCAGCACTCAGCGTGTTCCAAGAGCCCGCAGGTCGTGAGGCTCTCCATGCCCCCCCACCGCCCCCGGCCCCCCGCGCTTCATCCACCCCTCCCCCTCCTCCCATCTTCCCCCTCCCCCGCTTGGCTCCCCGTAGGTGTGCGCCTGCGCCGCCGCCGTCCTTTCCTGGATTCAGAGGCGGGCTCACACCCTAGACCCCGCCTCTCGCCAGGCTGGCCAATCCTGGGCTCGGATCTGGGCTCGTCAGAATGGCGCCGTGGCGGCCCGGTGCCCGGATGTCCGCTGCCTGAGGCTCCGCCCCGCCACGGTCTTGCATCCTTCCGGCTTCGTCGTGGAAGGAGGACTGCGCCTCGTCTTCCTGAAGGTGGGGTTCGGGGGAAGGCCAGCCCGCGGTCACGCCGGCTGTGGGAAGGGAAAGTGGGCTCCCCGGGCTACTGTTTCCGGGTGCTCGGGGCGTGGGTCGAGCGGGGATCGGACCGGGGACTAGGAGGGCTTCCGGGGGCGCCGCGGGCGCTCGGCAGGCGGGAGTTGAGGAGCAGGCCGGCCGCGCGGCGGACTCGCTCCGTGGAGGCCCCGCCGCGAGCTCGCGTCTGGGGGGTTTCCATGGTGACAGTAAACAAGCCTCAACTGCCTCAGCTACAACTGCCAAGTCCCCGGGGTTCCACCCTCCTCTAGGTGCTCTGAGGGCCGGCGAGGTTCCGGATGTGAGTGGGAGCGTGGAGACGAGGAGCCCGAGGTGAGGGCCGCCAACCGGGTGGGCTGACGCCGGGCCCTTGGGGCAGTGGACCGCGGGCGCGGGGCTCGGCTTAGGAAGGACAGGTCCGTGATGGAAGCCGCACGCCCGAGTCCGTGCGAAGACCGTCCTGGGTGCCGGAACCGCGTGGCCGAGGTTTGAGGGCCGGGGCGATGGCCGAAGTTGAGAGTGACAGCCCGACTTGGGGGTATTCCCGACGGGTCCGGCCGCGTGGCTGAGGCTGGCGGCCGGCCGGGGGAGTGGGGGGACGGGGTCGGAAGTCTGGAGTCACCCCGATCGGGCTCCGGCCGCGGGGACTAAGGATTGGCGCCCCTGACGCCGCCTCCGAGGCGCACGGTGGATAGAAGAGCGGCTCTCGCCTAGCGCCATCTCCCCAGGCGCTGCTCGCACGCGGCGCGGCGGACGCGGGCGATCGGGGGGCAGGGCTGAGCGTTTCTCCCCCGCGCCGGGACGAGCTCGGCGGTTCCCGGGAAGGCCGGGGCGCTGGTCGCCGTCTTGAGAAAGGATAGCGCCGGCTCACGTGGCTGGAGGCGCCCGGAGTTTCACAAGACTAGTAGGAGGGACGACTCCGCCCACGCCCGGCCCTGCATCGCCGCCGGCCTTTTCCTCGTGGCGACCCGGCTGTCGATCCGGGCCCTCGGAGGTGGCGTGTCGGCGTCTGGGGGTGGTGGCGGTGCTGGAATCTTCTCCTAGGGAGGTTAGTCGGCCGTCGCCTCAAGTTCCTGTACTTTTGAATGTGTTTGTGGATCTTTACGGTTCTGCTGAAACTTGCGGTGGGCCTAGCCTGCCGGGCCTTCCCTGGCGCGCGCTCGCCGGAGCGTTCCCGAGGTAGCCGGACGCTGGCCCCAGTCGCCCCGCGCGTACCCGCGAGTTAGCTCCACGTGCCCGAAGGCACCCAGTCGGGGCACCCTCAGCGGCCTTTCCTGACCCTGCCAGCCGGGGCACAGACGATTTGGCCTTTTTTTTTTTTTTAACCTACTACAACTACTTGCGAACCGTCGCCTGCGATGGGTGCTGCGGAGTGATTGGGCGAGCGCGCAGCGCGGGAGGCCGCCTGGCGGCTCTGCGGAGTCATCTCCGTAGCTCGGGCAGCTTGGCTTTGAATGCTCGAACCTCGTAGAAGAGAGAGAGGGCCGTTTTGGTTTATTTGCGTGTTTGTGTGTGAGCGAGGGTGTTAAACGTAAGAGGGCGATTTGAGAGACGGTTTTCCAGAGTATGGGTCCCAGGGATCGAACTGAGGCCATCATTTTTGTCAGCTCGAAGCGATATCAAGGTGGTTTGTTTGAACCCCCTATGAAGTGTGGTGTGTTTTTTTGCTTGTTTGTTTTCGTTTTGGTTTTTCGAAACGTTTTACCTTAGTACTGGCTGTCTGGGAAGTCACTTAGCAGTTCAGGCTGGCCCCGAACTCAGAGAAAGCCTCTTGTCTGCTGGGTGTTGGGATTAAAGGCGTGCATTACCGTGCCCGGAGATACCGGAGAGTTAAATAAAAGTCACTTAATTGGTCAAATCAAGATATCTTGGAATTGTTACTACTTTAGTGAAGTCTTTTTTAAAAGAAAGTTTCTTTTGTGTGTGCTGCCAAGTAGAGGTCAGGGAAAAAGTGGGGCCAGTCAGTTTTTTCATATTGTGTGCTTAGAGATTAATTATGAACTCAGGTACATCCTTCTGAGAACAAGCGTCTTTAACCCACTGAACAATCTCGAAGTACTTTATAAAAGAGTTGTTTTAGAATTCTTACTAAAATATCTCAGATTATTCGGTAGATATAAATAGGTCAGTGAAGTAACATGCTTAGTGCTAATTTTTGACATTTTTTCATTTTAAAGTAGAAGCTTTGTATTTCTAGTGAACGTTGAGAGATTTGTAGTTTATTCTGTTGTATACCTAAAGTTTTATTTAATAAATGGTATCTTTGTTCCTGGCTCTTTTGGAACTATGCAGTACAGGCTAGTCTCGAATTCAGAGATTGCCTACATTCTCGTTTAGATCCTCCCCTTCGAGTTTTTCTATAACAGCCTGACTGTACTAACTCACACTGTAGACCAGGATGTAGATCTCAGATTTTTCTGCCTCTGCCTCCCATGTGCATGCACCACTGCCTGGTTGATAATCTTGTTCTTAAGACTGGAAGAAATCACTCACTAGAGACACAATCGGTATTGGGACTTAGGTCTGACTGGGACAGCCTTCTATTACTAAGGGTTTCTGTCTCCACCATTTGTGTTAATGGAGGGTTCTTAGCAGAGGAAGAATTAAACTCAAAAGATCACCATATTTTATTTTGAAGCAAAATAAACAAAGATTTGTTGCTGAAGATTATAACTGGGACCTTTTATTGTAAGGAACAAAATTAATTTTCCATAAAAATGTAAAATGTTAACATAGAACACACACATGGATGAGTGGGTGTGGGCAGATCCTACTAGGAACATGCCGCGGTCAGAGGACTACAGCTTTGATTTCCTTTGCTGCTGGTGGATTCTGGGATGGATAGAACTGAAGACATCAGGGGCTGGAGAGATGGCTCAGTGGTTAAGAGCATTGCCTGCTCTTCCGAAGATCCTGAGTTCAATTCCCGACAACCACATGGTGGCTCACAACCATCTGTAATGAGGTCTGGTGCCCTCTTCTGGCCTGCAGGCATACACACAGACAGAATATTGTATACATAATAAAATAAATAAAAAAAAGAACTGAAGACATCAGGCTTTTAGCAGATGCTTTTATCCTGTACTCCTTTTCACTTGGAAATTTCATTTGTTTTTGAGACAGGGTCTCCATTGTAGCCAGGGCTGTTCTGTAGTTGGCTCTGTAGACCAGACTGGCTTCAAACTCATCAACTCATCATTCTGCATCTGCCTCTTGAATGCTGGGATTAAAGGCGTGTACCATCGTGCCCTGTAGTGCTATTTCATTTGTATTTTAATGAATAAAGCTGGCCTGAATTTCAGATTGTAAAACAGCCGATCAGCCTTACGGACTAAGCAGGGCTAACACACCTTTAATCCCAGTAGCCACAGTAGTTTGTCATAGAAACTGGAAGGTAGTGGTGCATGCCTTTAATCCCAGCCCTCAACATGAATATAAAACGGGAGGAGACAGCTGTCACAGAGTCTCAGTCTGAGATCCCTGGAGGTAGGACCACCATTTCGGACTGAGGTAGAGGTAAGAGCCAGTAGAATGGTTGTTTTGCTTTTCTGACCTTCAGGTTGAACCCCAATTTCCGTCTCTTCGTTTTTATTAATCGTGCTACAATGCCAAAACTCCTTTTCAATTTTTACAAGAGCAATATTGCCCTATATCCCAGGCTGACTTCAAACTGAGGACTCTCCTTCAGATTCTCAGTGCTGAGATTGAGAGCAGGCTACCACATACAGCTTCAGATACTATCCAGCTGACAAGTTTGAGTCAAGCTGAACAAGGTACTATCTCATTTGGTAAGTAGACAGTGTCTTAGCAATCTCACAAATTTTCACTCCAAATCTGCCACCAATAGAAGTTCATTGCAAGCCAAAGTGATTTTTATTTTTCTTTTTTAATATCAGCTCTTTGTTTTTTCTATAAATTGGTAGTTACCTTTGCAAGTTACCTTTTATTGGGACTGTGGTCCTAACAAACAGGCACTCCCTAGTGGTTAGTGTTCTCTATGTTGTGTAAAGCTGTGTTTCATGGGGTGTGAGTGTGCCTCCCTGCTAGGGAGTGAGGGTTGAGAGATAGACAACTGGGTAGCCCAGTAATCCTACTTGTCAGGTGCTAGCATTAAAATGTAGTGAGATTATTAAAGCCTTTTTGACACAGAGTTTGTCTGTGTAGCCCTAGCTGTCTTGAAACTACCTCTTGTAGACCAGGCTGGCCTCGAAGTCAGAGATCAGCCTGTCTCTGCCTTCAAAGTGCTGGGATTAAAGGCGTTGTGCCAACACCATCCGGCATCTCATGTTTTCAAATGTGTATATTTTTCATACCCCTTAGATTCTTTTACTTGCACCCTTTTCCTCTTCCCTCCTATTCCCTCTTGTGTTGCATGTATACCTGTATATTTTTGATGTTTCAATAAGTTTTTAGGTTGTTCACACACTGTTCTGAGTGAGGGAACAGCATAGCATTACCATTAAACATTTTAAGAATTGGATCTTAGTTTGTACTTTGTCTCTAGTTGTAATGATTTCTCTCTCTTGTCTGTCTGTCCTGGTTTTTCAAGACAGGGTTTCTCTGTGTAGCGTTGGAGCCTGTCCTGAAACTCTTAACTCTCTAGACCAGGCTGGCCTCGAACTCACAGAGATCACATGCCTCTGTTTCCAGAGTGCTGGAATTAAAGATGTCTGCCACTGCTGCCACCACCCTGTTAGTTGCTGGCTCTAGTTCAACTTGCTCTCTTTTCTCTTTTTCTTTTCTTTTTTTTTTAATACTTTGGAGTCTGCCTTCCTAACTGAAATTAGTTTGTAAAACTAAATTTTGAAAATGGGAAGGTAGTTTTGGCTGATTAAATGTACTTTAGAGTATATAGCTTTGGGCTAGAAGGTTTTTTGTATTGTTTTTGTGTTTTCAAGACTGGGTCTCTCCGTGTAACCCTTTTTGGCCTGGAACTTGCTCTGTAGAGCAGGTTAGACTCAAACTCAAAGAGATCCCCCTGCCTCTGCCTCCCACCTGAGTGATTAAAGGTGTGTGCTACCACCAACCAGCAGGAGGTTTGTTATTTTAAAACTAGATACACAAAACATGCCTGTCTATGAATCAAACACTTAGGAAATGGGCTTTGGAGAAGGATACTGACTGGAGTTTGAGGTCAGCCTAGATTTCAAGAGATTCTCTTGAGCCAGTCTTAAAAGCCAGATGTGTGTAGGCCTTTAATCTCTACTTGGGGAGGAGGAGGCTATTGAATCTTCTGAGTTTGAAGGCAGGAAAGATGGATGAAATATTGAACTACTGGTAACTTAACTGAAGTTTGTCTTCTGGAGGCTAGATGTCTTTTGAGCTGAAAGTGTATTCAGTGTAACTCAGACCAGACAAATGAAAATTGATCTCAGAAGGAAAAACACAAATAAATGGTGGCAAGAAACGAGATAGGGAAAGGAAGTTTTTTTTGTCTTAGAAATTTGATTCTGTGGTGTTCACATTATTAAGCAATTTATGTTGCTAAAACTTGTCAGAAAACTGATTTCCATCGTCAGTTCCAATGTCATATGCCCCTCCCCCCCCAACAGGGTTTCTCTGTAGCTTTGGATCCTGTCCTGGAAGTAGCTCTTGTGGACCAGGCTGGCTTCCAACTCAGAGATCCGCCTGCCCCTGCCTCCCAAGTGCTGGGATTAAAGGCGTGTGCCACCACCGCCCAGCTAAGTTCCAGTGTTTTTTGGAAGACTACTGTCTTAGATATTAACTCATTTCAAAATTTAAGTGGAGGTAAGAGTAGCTTGCCTAGACCCCTATATCTACAGATTAGCCTGATTTAAGGATAAAAATTCAGGGACTGGAAAGATGGTGTACTTCTTAAAGAACTTTTGTTGGTGTTGCCCAGAACCCCGGGTTCAATTCTCAACAACCCTGAGATGTTATGCAACCCCTTTTTTTCAAGGAAATCAGATGTCCTCTTCAGACCCACATACATCAAGTAATACATGCAGTACATACAACAAACCTGTAGGTAAAATACTCAAGACTAACAATCTTTAAAAGGGCTTTTTAAAGACCTATGTAAAGTTCTTACATAGGACCCTAGCTCAAGTCCCAGCACACATAAGCTGGCCAACAGCTATCTGTTGGAATGTATGTGATGCATATAAAATCTCTTACACATGAAATAATTTTTTATTTTTAGTTTCTCAAGATAGGGTATCTCTGTGTAGCTCTGACTGTCCTGAAACTTAAGTTTAGATCAACTGACCTTGAATTCAACAGGTCCCTTTGTTTTTGCCTCCCCAGTGCTACCCTTACCACCACCTGGTAATTTTTTTAAAGCGTTAAAAAAAATTTATCTAGACTGTGGCGGTGCTTGCCTTTGATCCTAGCACTCAGGAGGCAGAGACAGGTGGATCTCTGAGTTTGAGGCTAGCCTGATCTACAGATCAGTTACCTGGACAGTAAACCCCACCTCGAAAAACAAAACAACAAAAAAACGATGTTTAAATACTAGGAAATTTTGATCCCATAATGGTGCATCTGTAAATGCTAATGTTTTGTATTTTCCCCTTGGTAAAATATTTATGGTGTTTGTTTCAGGGAATGTTTATTAAAATATTTAAGGCATTTGTTCCCTGAAACTGCCAACATTTGAGGTGTGGTAATTTGTCCCTGGGTGGTAAAGCCACTCTTAGGCACATTTATGTTTCTCAACTCTGTTCATTTTCCCCTCCAGAGTAGTGATTGTGGTTGAGTTTGCAGTAGCATTTTGGGCTCCTGTAGCCAGTTACATGAGACCTGGTTTTTCTTTCTCTGTGCCCTCCTTAGGAACCACCCATCCTTTTGTAAGTGCTGGGGAAGGTCTCTTAGACCCTGGGGCCCCGTGCCATAGGTAGTTGAGCCTGCTTAGTTCTGTGACTGACCATTTTAGAAAATTTCTCTTTCAGGGAAGTTAACAGGCCTGGCAATCTGTGAGTATACCTTTTTTTTCAGCTGTAGTTTCTTTAGCAGAATTTATACACCACATACTCATATTTCATATGAGAGGTAGCCGCTAATTCATGATGGAATTTTCTACTCAATTGATGACAGTCTAGTAGCAATACTTTTCATAAACATAACTAAAGTTCATAATTTATTATATTTATATAATAAATATATATAACTTATTATATATATTTTTATATATAAGAAGTTATATTCTTCTGTTTTTCATTTTTACCTTAGCTATCTTTTGTTTTTCCTAGACGGGGTTTCTCTGTAGCTTTTCAGCTTGGCCTGGAACTACTACCTCCTGTAGTAGTTCCTCGAACTCTCTGCCTCTGCCTCCCAAGTGCTGGGATTAAAGGTGTGCAGCACCACCGCCGGTGCTTTCTTAAACTGGAGACATAAGAATAACAATGAATAGGCCAATTGTGGTGTGCGTGCCTGTACTATCATTTGGGGATAGGTTGGAAGATGTTTTTCCCCCCCTCGGGTAAGCATTAGCTTCATAACAAGATTGAGGCCTGTAGTATGTAAAACCTGTTCTGTAGGGTCAGGCAGTGTAACTGTTCTATTCTAGGCTTAGTACAGATTTGTCCTTTGGTTAATTTTAGTACTAGTAGTTGAGCGTATGGTTGGATTTGGCATGCAGTGTACATCGTCGATATCTGTTCTAATACCTTAACATTTTTTTTTCATAATTCTTAAGTGAGTTCTTGACATGAAGAAATGATTAAAAAGTTGAATTGAGCAGGTGGTGGTGGCACATGCCTTTAATCCCAGTACTTGGGAGGCAGAGGCAGGTGGATCTGAGTTTGAGGCCAGCCTCGTCTACAAGAGCTAGTTCTAGGACAGGCTCCAAAGCTACAAAGAAACCCTGTCTCGAAAAACCAAAAAAAAAAAATTGAACTAAAAATAATTAATTTAGGACTGAGGGTTTTCTTCAGCGATTGAGAGCACTTACTTGGCATATACAAGGCTTTGGATTTGATTCCTTAGCTCTGGAAAATAAAGCCAAAAATTTAATGGTTCTGTTTTGTTAGGGTGTTGCATGCCTGTAATCTCAGGATTTGGGAGGAAGAGCTAGGACTGCCACAACTTTTAGGCAAGCCTAGACTACTCAAGGGAGATCTCTTCTCAAGCAAAAGAAAAACGTTAGACTAACTTACTACCTGGAAAGTTTGAGGATAACGTGGGCTCTACATAGTAGTATCCTTTTCATTTCTATTTTCGGGTTTTTGAAATAGGGTTTCTTTGTAGTTCCTGGCTCTTCTGGAACTTAGTCTAGGCCAAACTGGCCTCTTAACTCAGAAATCTGCTCCAGAGTGCTGGGATTAAAGACCCTTGCTACCATGCCTCCTTAAATGTCACTTTTTTAGGACTCTGGTGAAAGCTAATATTACTGCATTACATTTACTGATGTACTTCTTAGTTGATTTCCTATTCGACTCCTGTGTCATCCCAGGAAGGCAGAACTATGCCATTTTTTCCATTTTGTAAAATTTTTGAACTTGATCCGTAAACCAAGCTGGCCTCCCAACTGCTGGGGTTAAAAATGTGCGCCCCCCACCCACCCCTGTTTGTGGTTTTCTTTGTCAAGACAGTTTCTCTATAGCTTTGGAGCCTGTCTTGGAACTAGCTCTTGTAGACCAGGCTGGCTATGAACTCACAGATCCGCCTGACTATGCCTCCAAGTGCTGGGATTAAAAGTGTACACCACTACAGCTTGGCTTCAAAAAAGTTTTAAGACAGTTCATGTAGCCAAGGCTGATCTCCACCAAGTTGGTGTGTGACCTGGATCTCCTTCATCGAGTGATTCTACTTCGCAAGTGCTGGAATTACAGGTGTGAGCCACTGCTCTGGCTAGTGTTTATACTGCCTATATACGGTATTTCTTGGTTAATGAGCTTCTTAGTTAAGTGAATTTTATGAATACTACATCACCTAATCATTTCCCATTCTCTGACCCTCATAACAATCTTTTACTTCCAATCTTGTCTCCAGTATGTTTTCTTCCCTTTTTGTTCTTATCTTTACAAATGTTTGTAGCTCTGGCAGGTTTCAAGTCCAGGGTGGCCTTGAATTCATCTCCTGCATTACCGCATTAATTAGCCTTGTGAAAAATTGGGATTATAAATATGTACCCCATAGAGGTGGTGGTAGAAGAAATAGGAGTTTTAGAACCATTCTGTGCTACAGACCATGTCCCCAAAAGAAAACAAATCAAATTGTACCATCTTCATGAAAACAATTGACTCCCTGTTGGTTTTAGGATACAAAATGCCATATAGTCTCATGTCGTTCCCAAACTTAAGACTTCTGTGTAGCCGAGGGAGACTTTATGCTCAGCTTGATTCTCCTAACCCAAAACCGTTGCTTATAAATACCTTAAATTTGAGAATTCAGTTCAAATATAGAGTAAGCCTAAAAAGCCCCAAGTTCTAGGTTCCATCCCCACTACAAATGAAACCCAGAATGGTGACTTGTAGTTTTTTGTAGCTAGGAACTACAAAGAAATCCTGTTTATATGACATAGAGTTTTCATAAAAATCCTTTCCTCAGCTTCCTAAATGTTGGAGTAAAGGATATATGCAGTGCCAGTGTCATGACCCCCAACTTCTTTATTTTGTAATGTCCATAGATACATAGAAAGAAATTGTGCTCAGTGTTCATTTGTATCAAGATTTAAAATTAGAGGTGAAAAAACTAGCTGAGTTCTGGTGCTTAACATGCTCAGTCCCGGCTTTAATGCACAACATTCCATAAAACCAGCTACAGTGGAGCACTAGGCATTCAAGAGGAAGGGAGAGGAGGATTGACAAAAGCTCAGCAACAGAAGTTACCGAGAGTAAGCACCATGTTGAGTTGGAAATTAGTCACCATTCCTGCCACTCAAAATCAAATACACTCCATTCATAGTCTTTGCTACCCTTTTAAGTCTTAGGGTGGTTAAGTCCTACCTTGTCTTTGTTAGAGCTGTTACTGAAACCTTGTCTATTTCTTACTGTATCTTGTCCTTTTAGTCCCGAACGT